CCCCCCCCCCCCCCCCCCCAATCCTCTCTGCTCAAGTCTATTCATACTCCTGGAGGGAAGTTAGAAAGGACCTGGAGGGTGAGAATAGCATCCTTGCTTGGTCTTGCTTATGGCATTTAAGGATGGTCAATGGGTGGGTTCAAGCTCTAGACCATGCCACAACCATCTCCAATGTCAGGGAACACAACAAGTTGCTTCCTTAATGAATGGTTTTGCTGTTGCCCTCAGGCGGACCATTGCCGAGTGACCGGCGGCACAGCATCCTCTCCACTGGCACCTTGCGTGTAGTGAGGGTTGCCTTGCACGACCAAGGCCAGTATGAATGCCATGCCATCAGCGCCATCGGTGTGAGGAGTCTCCCTGTGCATCTGTGGGTGATGCCACGAGGTAGGATGGTGCAGGAGGTACCAGTGGGCAAACAGGTTTCATTTGCTTTACAGTGTGCTGGATGTTGCCTGGTCTGAGGGGGGTGGTCCTGCAAGGTGGATTCCTTCTTTGCATCTGGATCATGGTAATATTCTTTAAAAGATGGAAAAAATGCAGGAAGTTATAGAAAATGAGGGTTGAAGGGACCTCAGGAGGTCACATCTAGTCCAACCCCCTGCTCCAAGCAGGACCAGCCCCAACTATGTCGTCCCAGCCGGGGCTTTGTCTACCTAGGTCTTAGAAACCTCTAAAGTTGGAAATGCCACCACCTCTCTGGGTAACCTGTTCCAGTGCTTAACCACCATCCTAGTGAGAAAATACTTCCTAATATCTAGCCTAAATTTTCTTGCTGCAGCTGGAGCCTGTTGCTCCTTGTTTTCTTATCTGCCCCCATTGAGGACAGTCCAGCTCCATCCTCTTTGCAACCCTCTTCATGTAGTTGAAGGACACTATTAAATCCCCTGTCGGTCTTCTCTTCTCCAAACTAAATCAACCCAGTTCCCTCGGCCTCTCTTCACAAGTCCTGTCCCCCAGCCCCCAAACCATTTTATTTGCCCTCCGCTGGACTCTCTCCAATTTGTCCACATCCTTTCACATTGTAATACTTTGTAATGCAGTGTCAATCCTCAGAGGCCAAAGCAGTTTTTTTTTTCAGTTGCATCAGCTGAAAATTTGGCATGAAACTTAGGAAGAACAAACCAGCTCCCCAACCACAGACTGTGACCGGGGAAGGAGGCTGCACTCCTACATAACACAGGCTAGAGACCCTCATTCACTAACTTCTGTACCAAACCTATAACTCTGGTTGGATCTGTAGCCTCTCCCTCGGAAATTCTTGTATTACCACCCCCCCCCCCATCAACAGGGGTTCATATCTCCAGGAGCGGAGATGACAGCACAAGATCAATTGTGAAATATAATGTAGGGAGGAATTGCTAATGAGACAAAGGAAATAGATGACACTTAATCTGATGGTGGAAGCGGTCTGGGAATCTCAACTCCCCCCTTGTGAGAAGTTACAGACTCGAACCAATTTGTCCCTAACCAAGCAGCAGCTTGTTGGTGTTTTTTTTCCACCCCCCCCGTCTTTCTCCCTCCCTCTCC